CTAGTCCTGAAAACAGTCTTCGGTATGTCACTCTCCTTTATCCTGATCTGATGGTATCCAGATCTCAAATCAATCATCATAAACACTGAAACTCCCCTCAGCTGTTCCATCAAATCATCAATCCTCGAAAGGGGATACTTATTCCTTATCGTCAACTTATTCAGTTGCCGATAATCAACACACAAACGGGATCCACCATCTTTCTCTACTAATAGTACCAGGGCACCCCAAGGAGAAACGTTGGACCTCACCATCCATTTTTCCAAAAAATCCTCAATCTGTTTCTTTAGCTCTACCAACTTAGTTGGAGTCATCCTATAAAGAACCACTGATATCGGTCTTGAACCCAGTACCAGATCAATGCTAAACACAACATCATGCATAAGTGGCAATCCCGACACATCATCTGGGAACACCCCAGGAAACTCACTAACAACCCAATCCCAGTGATGGGCCTCTTCGTCTCAACACTCAAAACGACAAACAACATGAAACACTCAGCTCCATCTCTCATCAACTACTCAACCTGAATCGCTGACAACAACACCTCATCCTCAAATTGAGAGAATACCAATTCTCTCCGAACACAATCTATAAGGATGTGATTGACAAATAACCAATCCATCCCTAAGATTATGTCAATATCTACCCTGAGCAACACAATCAGGTTCACTCGGAACCTCCTACTAAACACCTCTATCGGCATCTCGCACACATCTCCGATGTCACCAAGAAATTGAAGCCATAGTAGATACATACAAATCAACGTGCCATGCAGACACCGACAACCCAATCTCCCCACACAATCAACAGAAATAAATGAATGTGTGGCACTAGAATCAAACAGGAACAAAACATCCTCACCTGCTGCTTTCACCTTCCCCTTCACCAAATCTGATGAAATGGAAGCCTCTACACTTGATAAAGAAAATTACTCTCTCTACAACCATAGGCCTGACTAGCCTCGGGGCACTCCAGATGGTGTCGATGGCATCTGACAATCTATGGAAATATGGTCTAGCTTGCCACATCTGAAAAAAACATTTCCCGAATGAGAACAATCTCTAACCATGTGGGCTTCTCCACATCTGTAGCATCGCACCGACTGTGCTCCACTCTAAGGAGTAGCAGGACGAGGTTCCCTACTAATAGCTCTTCTCTGAGACTGTGCAGGTCTGTCATAGGGTCCTCTCTGCTGGCCTCCCCTCCTAAACTCAAGCAGCCTTACCGCTGCTACCACCACCCTTCAATCTCTCAACTTGTTTTGCTTTATTTATTTTATTTCTTGCACTAACTAATTTCCTGAAATGATACAAATAGAAATATAGTTGTGAATTTTAATATTTTGAACAAACTTATTTAGAATTTTATAAATTTAACTGAAACATACCTTAAACTTGGGGCTTGAAAAATAATTTACTAGGTATTCCCATTCTTCTTCACTTACTTTTTCGGGTTTATACTCCAAAGCTTCCTCATTTGTTTCATATTTTAAAAAGTGATCATGGAGTCTTTTCCTATGACTTCTATATAATGGTTTTGTAGTACAAATAATAACTTCTCTATTATGCTATGTGATTTCAACATCAAAACTATCCTACAATTATCAAATTATAGTAAAAATCATTAAATAGTTTATAAAAATATCCTATGAGCATAAAAACTTAAACAATATGAGCAAAAAAAATTACCAAAACTTTTGATACTATTTTATCTATTGTTGAGTTTGGAATTTCCTTCCACTTAGTGACATTGAAAAGAGCATTCTTTTGGACAATAATAGAGATTTCAGTGACAAAATTTGCAACTCCTGATCCAACAATTACCATCTTATCTACTGGAATAACAACATGTAATTTACCGGTAGAGCTCTTCTTTTTCTTTTTTGCAACACTTAAACCCATGGTTCTTCCTATTCCAATTTTTTTTTGTATACACATTCTATCGGATCTTATTGAAAAAAAAAATATGGTGAGTATAACATGAAATTTTAAAACAAAAGTACATATTTTTATTTATAGATTTTTTTAAAAATAAATATTAACAAAAGAAGAAAACTTAAAAAAAAAAAAAAGGAAATCAATTTACGAATACCTTCCTCTTATTTGCATTTGAGGAATTTTGATCCCTTGAATTTAAATCATTATTTGATGGTGCCATACCTATAAATACAAGAAAATATAAATTATACAATGTTAAAGACACTTTATTATAATCCCAAGCGTGTGGTTCAGCGGTAGGAGTTGATCCACGCTTAAGTAAGGTCAGGGGTTCGAAGCTATTCTATCCTATCGTGTGCACGAGAAAAAGAGAGTACCATGAGTACTTAGCGATTCTTTTCTTGTTAAGAATTTGCAGTTTAAACAATGAGGTACTTAGAAGAAGAAAGAAATGATACTTCATCAATTATATTGTTCAATGCACCCAAAGAAAGTAAGCAACTGCAACCCCCTATGGTGTGTCAAAGGAGGTCCAAATAATTTTTCATTGTAATTCTCTTTACTTATTTTTAGCTTTTTCTAAGCTTATTGTGTCTGAGGAAGTTTCAAAATAATACATAACAGCATGAGTAATGGAGATTTTTAAGAAACGGGGCAACATTTTCTTTAAAAACAAATCAAACTTTACCGCTAAAACTTAATTAGCGCCAACATGAATTTTTTTATAAATAAATTAATATTTAAAACAATTTTATTATAAATTAAATTAGAATTGAAACGGTTTTTAATTTTCGATAACATTAACGGCACGAAAAACTTTCCGTGGATGTAGCAATTGAATTAAATTGCTTCTAAGTATATTACATTAGGCATATTATTATAATGAAAAGATTAATAAATATATTAATATAGCATATTATTTTAATGAAAAATGTAAGTATTATATCACAATATTTGGTCTGTTATTAAATAAGAATTTAATTACAAAACTTTAAAACTATAAAATTTTTCTTAAAGTTCTTTTAACTATAGAAATTTAATTAAAAATTTGAAAAATTATTCAAACTTACATATTAATTTGACATTTTAAAAATTGTTTAATGTTACCCTTTTAATTAGTTGAAATGACTTTCTTCCACTTCTATGATTCATGACTTGTTTTGCTTTATTTATTTTATTTCTAGCACTAATGTCCTGAAATGATACAAATAGAAATATAGTTGTAAATTTTAATATTTTGAACAAACTTATTTAGAATTTTATAAATTTAACTGAAACATACCTTAAACTTGGGGCTTAACTTTTCAAATCATCATCTCAATCAACTTTCAACTTGAACAACACAATCAACTCACAACTTAATAAGCATAACAACTTAAACAACATACAACTTATCAGCAATAGACATAACATCAACTTTACAACAATATACATCTTAACTACAATAGACATCTTACAACATGCAAACAACTTAATTAAACAACTATATGCATTACAATATCAACTTAATTTAACTTAACAACTTTATAAACAACTTCAGCCATATACAACATATTTAAAATTCATCTATAAGGTCAACTTATATAAACAACATAAAAACAACTTAGTTTTTGCAACGCATAACATATTAACAACACACAACATATTAACAACTTAAGCCAGCAACTACTCAACCCACACCCAACAACTTAATCAATCTACACTCTAGCTTCCCTCACCTGAAGATTGGCTCAAAATAGCCAATAACTGAGAAGAAGTAGAATTCTTTTCCGAAGCTCAACCCGGAACTTCTATCCTCCCAAAGTAAGCTTCCTAATCTGAATTTCAAGAAAAGCCAGAAGGTGTTAGTGATCTAGAGAAGGAAAGGAGTCATACAGAGAAATTTGGGAGAGAAAGGAGCTCACAGACCCAGAGATCTTCTCTCTAAAACTTCTCTCTTAAAACTCACATTCTCCTGAAGGCCCCCAACCCCTATTTATAGACTTTTCGGATTGGCCAGAATGGCCTGTATCGATACCAGAACGGCTCATTCTGAACTCCGTCAATACGCACAAAAATCACCTGCAGAACGGCCCGTTCTAAAATCATAACAGCCCGTTCCAGAACTCATCCGGAACGGCCCGTTCTCCCTCCGGAACGGCCCGTGCTCCTTCTGGAACGGCTCGTTCTCCTTGAGTAGTTTGGAACGACCCGTTCCAATTTAGGAACGGCCCGTTCTGGCTACTGAATCTTTTTTTTTTTTCGTTACATATTCAAGATAATTGTAACCTCAGGAGGGGCCTTTTGATTATATAAATGTTTTATACTTGTGAGTAGGTTATAATTTTAAGCTTTCTTGTACTAATTATATATATACAATTGTTGAATAAATATCCAGGAATTGATGCATGTGATCCTAATGTGACTTGTTGAATGTGATTTTTATTGTGTGTATATATGCATGTATGTGTTTCATTAGTGTGACGACCCAACGGGCGAGCCGTTACACTAGTCACTTCAAATCTATAATCACTACAAAAAAAATTGGATTTAGCAACCACTAAAATCGGTCGCTAAATTGCTAAAATCGGTCGCTATTTGCCTTAGCGACCGAATTAGAGACCGAATTTCCGTAGTCGCAAAAACCCTAGTCGCAAAGCTATATAGAGACCAAAAATTTTCGGTCGCTATGTAGCGACCGAAAATTTTGGTTTAGCGACCAAAAATTTTGGTTGTTGTTTAGCGACCGAAAATTTCGCCTGCCATAGGAAATGTAGCAACACCAAGAAGGTTCTCCCTCAGAAGAGGGACTTGGCTAAACTACAATCCGGGACAAGTTGGATTGTAACATCATTGGTTCAAAACAAAAAATTGTAACAAACAAATGACAAAATAATCCCTTTGAATGATAATCCATAAATGACACATAACAATCACAATTTGAATATAATTACCAAGGCAAGAAAAGCAGACAATTAACACGGATTAATACAAATACAACATTTGATGATCAAAAGTACTTTGAAGATTCACGCATCAACAACAAAAGAAGATAATTGTTTCACACAAATTCGTGAATGGGGGCTCAGATTAAATTACAGCTCTATCAATCACGATTTCTCAGAAGCAGAACTGGCATTTAAAGCTGAATGGTAATCCTCACAGCTAACCATTACACTAAAATTGAAACAAATAAAATAACATACAACATCATTCTCTTTTTAAAAAAGAAAAACATTTTCAAATCAAAACACGGCTCATATCAAGAAATTCAACCATTTATTTCCGTTATGCTTCATCGATTAAACCTCAGAAGCGCGGATAATATGTAATCATCGCCGACAAATAAGATGTTGAAAACACCTAAAAAACTTACAACTTTAAAAACTACAAAAATTGAAACCTAATGTAGCGGACATTTTTAGAGGCACAAACATTGAAAGGTTAAACCCCCACGTGAAAACCGCCGATTCAATTTGCGCCTCTATGACTAGCTTTAATTTCATGGCAAATTTCGAAAACAAGCTAATGGTGTAGTGAGGCGAAACACGCACACGAAAGTAAAAAAAATATTGAGAAAAATGGGATTTCACCGTTGCTTTGACACAGTTTCAGCCATGAAAAAATTAGGGCTAAACTGCAACACGAACGGCGGCGATTTCGCACGTGTATTGGGGCTTTCGCGTCATAGGTTAATCAGAGAAGCCCGGGAGACATCGTGCAGAGAATTAATCAAAAAAGAAAGAAAACTTTGAACCTACAATGCTACTTCTGTTTGCAACGGCTGA